GGGAACGGGGCTCAGCAGCGGGACCACACCGTGCACCGGGATTGCCCTGGGACTGCACCGGGCATGAGGCACCGGGCACCGCACGTGGACCCGGGAACGGGGCATGGCTCCAGGCATGGGGCACCACCCTGAGCACCGGGCACGGCACCGGGACTGCGCCAGGGCTGTGGGACACTGCTCCGGGCACCGGCACTGCACCGAGCACCCACAGCCGGGGCCGGTACCGGAGCCAGGCTGGGTGCCAGCCATCCCGGTGCCACTGCAGGGACACATCCCCTCCCCTCCCAGCTGTGCTGGGCCCCTTTCACCCCTCGCCATCCCCCCCGGAGYGGGCACTCCCTGCCCTGCACCCTCCGGGACCATCCCCGAGCTCTGGACACCACACTCAGCGCAAGGGACGATTTTAATCCAACATAAAACTTCGCGAAGGTACAAACAGAGCCGGKCGCTGGGCAGGAAAACACAGTCCCCTTGGCTTTTAAGACATTTTCCATGAAAAAAAACAAAACCCTCTTCCCACCCTCTCCGCGCCACGGGTGCGCAGCCGAGCCCCCTCATCCCGCCGTGCCAGCGGGCAGGGGGTGCCCGGTGTGTCCCCAAAACCCCGCTGCCTTCCCAAAACCTTAACACAGAGAGTGGAGAGAGAAGCAAAGGGAACACGGAGCAGCTGTGGTTGCTCGTTTTTTGGGGGATTGAACAGCACCAGTCGGACGGGAGAAGCGGGATACGGAGCCTGGCACAAACCACACGTGCACGAAAGAATCCAACACGCAGCCCAAAAAATCGCCTGGGGGGCACGGATTGATGCCTGATGGCAGCGGGGACGGCAAAYCAGGGATGGTCACCCCCATGTCACCGGCACGGTGCTGGCACCAAACCACGGCACGGGGGAAAGCCGGAACATGCATCAACAAATGGAAACGTTTATATCCCAGAAAACGGCAGAAATAGGGGAGAAATGATGGGTTGAGCTGTTGTTTGTCACATAAAGGGTGACGGGGGGAGGAAGAAAGGAGGATGAAATTCCCAAATTACAAGTGAAGCGGCATAGGCGCTCACTGGGTTGGGGTGATTTTTTTTTTTTAATTAAAAAAAAAAAAAAAAACAAGGAAAATTGGGATTTTGTGGATGTCTGTGCACTGATCAACCAAAACCACAGGGTTTGATGGCAGAGAAATGGAAAGAGAAAAAAACTGACCCTAAAAAAACCCCATTAATGTTCCCATCTCATTGCTGACCTTGTGGAGATGTCTCTGCTTTTCTCACCTGGAAGGGCCAATGGAGCCACGTGGCTACAAAATCTCCAAATAAAATAATTAAAACCTTTTTATATCTCCTGTAATCTTATAAAATGATCCATGTGCTCATCATCTGACAATATGCAAAGAATTGCCCTCCCTCTGCATCCCAGCCCGGAGCGCCAGCATTTTGGGGATGTTGCTGTGGGTTTGGGGTTYTGTTTTAATTTTAAATATTAGAATTACGGGTTTCTTAGGAGATCCRGGGTGTTTCCAGCTAGAATTGAAGTTAAAAAGTACGGAAAAGCAAGTGGGTTAGAAAACAGTGGGCTGGGAGCTGGGAGACGCACGGAAAAGGCTGGGACTCCCAGAGCTGGGTTGGCCCCTGCGACGGTCCTGCACTGCCCGTTTTAGCTTATAAAAAGTAATAAATTAATTAAGGAATATTTGCATCGAGTCCTTTCTGTACACAGAGGTCGGGGGGGCCCAGCTGGGGAAACGCCGCCGCCGGAAAAGCTCCTGCGTCTCTATAAAAATATGAGCATCTTTCAGGGAGTACAAAAAGCCTTCCCGGGGCKCCAAGAGCCGGGGCAGCGCCAATGTCCAGAGCGGCTCCGGGGACGTTTCTCTCGCGGATTTGCCGCACAGGACGGGGCGTTGGGGAGGCACCGGGATGCCACCGAGCCACCCCTGGTGCCAGCGTGTGGCTCAGGCGTGCTTGGCCCCGCTCCACGTGCCCCGGGGAGCCGGGAGATGAGCGCCTGGTGGCTCCTGGCCCTGTGCCGGCGTTTGCCAGTGGCCGGCGGATCCCTCCCCGCAGTTCCGCTGCTGCTGGGAGCCACGGTCCCGGTGCTCGCAGCCGTCCCACCACGGCAAGGAGRTGCTGCCGCTCGGCTGCTCGGCGCTGCTGATGGGGTAGGAGCCCTGGCATTCCCACTCGGCCACCGCCGGCTCCTGCTCGTCGCTCTCCGAGCCCTGCACCGCGATCTGCGGCACCGTGCCGGGYTTCGGTTTGGGCGGCGGCGGCGGCTCCTGGGCAGCCGTGCCCTGCCCTTCCTCGCTCTTGCCGCCGTCTTCGCCTCCCGCCGCCGTCTCCTGCTCGTCAAAACTCACTTCTTGCACCGCCTCCTGCTTCTTGAAGGAGTCCCGGCGCTCGGACAGGTTCAGGCGCCGCATCACCACCATCTCCTGGTCGCGGTCGTGCCGCTCTGTCAGCCGGGAGCTGGACGGGTGGTACCCGTGCTCCCCGGGGTACGGCAGCGCGTCGCCCTCCCCGAGGGCCTCCCCATCCAGCGTGGACATCTCCAGCCCCAGCTTGCGGCCGCCGGCGGATTTCTTCTCGGCCAGGATGGTGACGATCTTCTCGGCCGACTGGACGCGCTTGAGGAGGGGGGAGCGGGGGCAGTCGGCGCTGCGGGGCCGGGAGCTCTGCCGGACGATGGTGGGGGGGGACAGGGTCTTGCCCTGGAAGGAATGGGGGGTTTTGGGGTACCCGGGGAGCGGAGACGGGGAGCGCTGTGGGGAAGGCGGGCGCTGGGCCGAGGAAGGGGTGCAGGCCAGGGGAGAGGGGGGGATGCTGCTGGTGGATTTGCGACGTCCCACTTTGTAGCGCTGCCCACCCAGTTTGGGGGCCAGCCCGTGCAGGGAGCTGGGGCGCACGTGGCCGGCGGGTGACGTTGGGGTGCTGGAGGAGGGAGAGGTGCTCTGAGGGGACACAGCATCTGCCGTACAAAGAGAAAAGGTCACTGTAGGGACGCAGGGACACGGCCTCCCCGAGGGACACGCAGCACCCTGCCCCGCCCCGAGCCAATGTCCCCGCTTTGGGTACCTGAGGGCAGGTCGGGAGCGGGGCTGCGGCACGGCGTGGTGGGACCCGGGGACAGGCTGTGCGTGGGGGACTCCGGGAGGCTCTCGCTGGAGGACAGCGAGTGATGGAGGCCGGAGGAGAAGCTGCGGCTTGTGTGCAGCACCGACGACTGCTTGGAGATCTTCTTGAAAAGGGATTTCCTCCTGCTAGAGGGGACGGGAATAACTTTGGTTACTCCTTAATGGTGTCAGTCTCAAGTCTGCTGATCTGGTGACAGCAGGACTAGACCCCAGTGGACCTCTGGTACAACCAATCCAGAGCATCCAATCCAGTTTTGGGTTCCACTAGACACCCCAGAATGCCACAAATTGGGGCAAAAGCCATTTTATCCCAGTTTTACCTACCTGTCTTGGCCATCCCTTTTCCTGCTCTTTTTACTCCTCCGTGCCATCCTCGTCTTGGAGCTGTTTTTCCGTGCAGGGCCGATTTTGATGGAGGTGTTCTCCAGGGCAGTGGTCCTCAGGGCCACTTTATTCCCGCTCTGAGGGATGGAAAACAAATCTTTGCAACACCGGATCCGACCCAGCTCCCACCTCAGCTGCTCAGAGTTGATATCCTGGGAGAGCAGAGCAGCTTTGGGCACCCACCTTGAGCAGCAGCTCCACGACATCCCGATGGACCAAACCCAGCACGGACTCGCCGTTCACRTGMGTGATGAGATCGCCCGCCCTCAGCCCGGCTTCCTGTGCAGGGCTCCCCTCCTCCACGCTCTGCAATCCACACACACGGATTTTATTGGGATGAAAGTTCCCTCCTGGGGTTTTCCCACCGGGAAATGCAGTGTTTGGCAGCGTTAGACCCCAAGCACGTACCCAGACCATGTGGTGGACGGTGTAAACGTCACTGTCGCCCATGTAGACGCGGATGGCTCGCAGRGTGAAGCCGTACTTCTTGCCYGAGCTGTGRATGATGATGGGYGGCCGCAGGCTGGCGATGGCCAGYGAGGAATCTCTGCTCGGGGAYGAGTCCCGGGAAGAGGGGTTGGAYGAGAGGGAGTGRGGGGAGATGGGGCTCATCAGGGCRCCRCCACCRAAGTCATCTGCAAGCAGGAGAAGCYGGTTCAGCCTGGGAAAACCACGTGGCAGTGACCATCCAGCAGGATGAACCACAGAGCACACGGACCTGAGGTGATGATGAGGGACAGGGCTGAGACAGAGGCGGATTTGGGCACCCGGCTGCCCAGCGAGGCTCTCTGCCGCTCCGGCAGGTCCTTCTGGGTGCTCAGCCGGCGGCCCCCGCTCGGCTCCAGGCTCCGGGGAGTCGCGTTCTTGGTGCCMGTGCTGTTGCTCCGCAGGCGGATGCGGTTCAGGCTGACGAGATCGGCTGCGCAGAGGGGAGAAGGGAGAGTTTGGGGATGTGGAGAAGACACCCTGTTTCATACAGGACCCCTGGATTTCAGCTTCTCTATTTCCATGTCTCTGTAACCCTGGAATCCTTCAGTGTTTAACTCCAGATTCCACAGACAGCGCTGAGCTCCTGCTCTCCCATTTTTACACAAAACAATTCCTCTGCAGCCCCAAACTCAAGGACACCTCCCTGGGCCAGGCCCCAAGAGATGGAAACAACAGAGAATTGGGGGGAGCCAAGTTGGAGTTTTTGACTGCATTGGCTGCAGCTGCAATTGGAGGATTCAGCCCCGATTTTGTGCAAATGGACAAAAGTGAGAAAGGGTGAAAAAGCCGTGAGCCATTGTCCATTGTGGGTGCAGCCCCTGGCTGGGCTGGGACTGCCCTGGATGGCCCTGAAGGCCCTGCAATAACAGAACTGCTTTGGATTCTCTCMATTCTGTCCAGRYTCTRSTTTAGGTAAACCCAGATCAGACATCAGCTGCCCTCAGAGCATCCCACACCRGTGCCCTCAGCTACGCACCGGACAGCGCCGACTGCTTCACCGCACCGCCGGTCCCCACGTCCGAGTCTCCCACCACAAACTTGGGTCTCTCTGGCTTGGAGGACGCCACACAAGGGCTCTCATCCTCCGARGAGAAGGCAAACTTGGGCATGGTGTCCAGGCTGAGGGTGCTGGGCAGCGCCGTGGGGCTGCGGCTGCGCTCGTGCCGGGAGCTGTACGGCGTGACGCTGCCGGACGTCCAGGAACGGAGGCTGCGTGGGATGAGCAGGGGGACTCAGGACAACCCAAAATGGGCGAGGGTGGTGGCACTGAGTGCCCACTGACCCCTCAGTAACAGCACAAACCCTCAGTGCCACCACAAATGATGTCAGTCCAAATCCTCGCTCCCGGCACCAACCCTCAGTGTTGGCACAAACCCCGATCCTGGCACAAGCCCTGGTCCTGGCACAAGCCCTGGTCCTGGCACAAGCCCTGGGCACTGACACGAGCCCACCCCAGCAGCACAGCCCCCGCTGACCACTCACCGGGGCTCAGCGCCCGCCGGCCGGCCCTTGTCCTCATCTCCCGAGTGCCGGTCCCAGCGCTCCTCTTTGTCATCRCAGTGACTCTTTTCCGAGGAGGACAGGCTGAGGGTGGAGTTGACCGCCAGGAATTCTGAGCTGCTGTACACCTGAGGGGAGAGCAGCAGAAATTTGGGAACGCTCTGGTGTCAACTTTGACACCGAGGCTCGGCACGGATGCACTGGCTGTGGTGCCAAAGCGTTTTGGGTGCTGGAGGAGGRGCTGGGGCACCTTGCTGAAGCGGTGGGAGCAGGAGGAGAACTGCCCGATCTCCACTGATGACTCCTCATCGTTGGTTTCCTCATCCTCCGAATCCAGGTGGCGATACCTCTCGGAGCGAGCTGCAAGCCAGAGCCCGAGGGGGAAGGGGTGTCACCCTGCCTGCWGCACCCTACAGCTGTGGGGCCAGGTGGGACCCACACCCACGGGGTCACAGCCCAGTCCCAAATGCCAATTTTGGGGGAGAAGTCATTAAGGGTGAGCAGCCTGGAAAGGATTGTGTCACCTTTGTGACCCAGCTTCACCCAGGAGATTTTTTTCATCTCCCATGAGAGCATCCCAGATGGGATGATGGATTGGCAGAGGGGGAGAAGGGACGGGTTTGGCCTCACTGTCGAAGTAGCTGGTGTCATCCTCCGACTCCAGCTGGGGGATGAACTCAGCCTTCTGCCGCAGCAGCCCGTTCCAGTCCAGGTGGAGGAAGAAGGAATGGTGCTTCACCTCGTGGGCACCTCCTGCCAGGATCAGAAAGCCACATCAGGGGCACAGTGCAGGATCTGGGATGCTTCCACTCCCATCCCAAACGGCACAGTCTCTCCTCCACACATCAAATGGCTTAAAACAGGACGGACCAGAGCCCTGAGCAGCCTTCCTGGGGGGATCCCTGAGCAGGAGACCAGCTCTGAGCACCCTCAGAGTGGCAGGACATGCTTTAAAATGAAGCTTGATGGGAATCAGGGTGCCAGGTCACCCCCCAGAGCTGCTGCCCTGCGTACCCGTGCCCAGGCGCTCGAGGGGACACTGCCTCAGCAGCCGCGTGATCAGGTCCTGGGCGTCTGAGGGAAGAGCCTCGTCCCCTTCTGGCCACATAATTTCATCTGCAAAGAAAGAGGAAAAGGGGTTTGGAGAGCCTGAAAGKGTTTGGATGCTTTTAGGCAGCAGGAAAGTCCCCGGGGAGCTGCAGCAGGGGAAGTGTTCACTCAGAGTGGGAACCAAAGCTTGAGGAGCCTCCTCTCTSCTCAGCCGAGCAGGACAGGCAGGAATGAAGCTCAAGGATGAGCCACAGCTGMTGGGAACAGCAAAGCTGCCCCTGGMACTCACCACTGATGACCTGGCCAAAGAGCTCCTCGGGGGTGTCTCCGAAGAAGGGCACGCAGCCCACCAGGAACTCGTAGAGGATGATGCCCATGGCCCACCAGTCCACGGGTTTGCCGTAGCCCTGGATGAGGATGACCTCGGGGGCGATGTACTCCGGGGTGCCGCACACCTGCGGGGCAAGCAGGGGCTGACACCTCCGTGGTGACCTTGGTGACATGGCCTGGGGCTGTCCCAGAGCCTGGGGTGGCCGGTCAGTGGCGTGGAGTGGGGCTGGTACCTGCTTGTCCATGAACTCTCGCGTGTCCTTCTCCATGTGCCCCTCGTAGAGGTTGGTGGTCATGTTCATCAGGCCAATCTTGGACAGGCCGAAGTCCGTCAGCTTGATGTGGCCCATGGAGGTGATGAGCAAGCTGCAGGGGAAGACAGACACCCCAAAACGCTGCTGGTTGGTTCTGGGGACACCTAAGAAGGACCAGCTTCACCCCAGGACCTCTGGTCCTGAATCAACAGCACAGAACCAGTCTCTGGGCAGCAAAACCCACTGCAAAACCCTTCCCCAMCTAAACCCAACCCCAGCCCTGCTCRGACCCGACCCACAGCCTCACTTGTCAGGTTTGAGGTCRCGGTGSACGATGCCRTAGTTGTGCAGGTACTCCAGGGCAAGGACGGTCTCAGCAAAGTACATCTTGGCCATGTCGACGGGCAGAGGGCCCATGTTCTTSAGCAGGGTGGCACAGTCCCCTCCTGTGGGGACACAGGGGGCTCAGRGAGGGCAGGGAGCTCAGCAGACCCAGCAGGTTCCCAGCCAGACCCTCTGAGCAGCCAAACCTTGGCCACAGGGCACAGACACTCTCCTGAGTGACYATGGCCACCACCTTCATCAAGGTGACACTCAGGAGCACAAAAGCATCTCCTCTGCTCCCTGGAGCAGGGCAGGGCAGGASATGTGTCCACATGGTGTCCTTGTGTCCCAGACTTTGACACTGTCCCCTTGTCCCCGCACCGTCCAGCCCTGCTCTCACCTTCTACATACTCCATGACCATGCAGAGGTGGCGGCGGGTCTGGAAGGAGCAGAACATGCTGACCACGAAGGGGTTCTCRGCGAAGGTGAGGATGTCCCTCTCCACGAACACCTGCTGGATCTGGTTCCTCAGGATCAGGTTCTGCTTGTTGATCTTCTTGAGGGCGAAGCGCTGCCGTGTCTCCCTGTGCCTCACCAGGTACACGGCCCTGGAGGAACGGCTGGAGCTCAACACACRTCCAYCAGCACTGACCACRCCACAGGGCTGGGACAGGGAGRGCTTTGGGGTCRTGGAYAGGTGGAGACACCAATAGGASYTCCCCARCTCACCCGTAAGCYCCGTTGCTGATCAGYTTGATGGTCTCGAAGTCGCCYTCRCAGGGCTTCCTCCGCGGGACGGCGACTGAAGGCTGGCTCTGAGGAAAACACAGGTTTTTGATGATTCCCAGCAGGAATTCACCCAGCACCATCACCTACCACCTCCAAAAGCTTCTCTTTGGGTCAGAGCCCTCTCCAGCCACAAACCCCAAAGCAGAAGCCCGAGATGCTCTGCAGATCAAGAGCCCGTTCTGAGCTCTGTCCACTCAAGAAGCCGAATGAGGGACTGTGAGATCTCTACCCCCAAATACATCAACCACCCTTGGGGACAAGCCAAACTGCCATCTCCCAGACTAGGACAGCTGTGAGGAGCTCTGCTGTGGGGTGAGGCAGCAGGTGGGATACACAGGTAGGACTGCACTCACCTCACAGGTATCGTCATTCTCCGGCGTGATGGTGTTCCCGCTGTCGAAGTGATCCAGCTGCCCCATTTCTGCAGGTGACAGGCATGGATTTTACCTTCCTCATGCTTGACCCCCCACCAAAATCCCCCCCTGCCCGACCACTCTCCCTCCAAACTCGGACACCCCACAGGGATTTAGCCACATGCTTTGTTTGAGCTGTCGTATGGAGAAATTCAGGTCATGGCGTTAAGAGGTTCAAGGCGAGGTTAAACTTTTATATAATTCTTTTTTTGATACTCACTCCTGCGTTCTCCAGGGATTATGATTCCCCCCCCAGGGCCGCGGATTAAGTGTTTTTGAGCTTAATCTGCTTTGCTGAACGTGTTGGAAGCAATAATAAGGGATGTGGGGCTGGCCAGAAGGTCTTGGCCATCATCCTGCTCCTGCTGTGACCTCCCCTGCCACRGCACCAGCACAGCCCTGCAGGTCCCCCTGACACCTCCCAGTGCTCCCAGTTGTGGCCAAACTGGGAGCCCACCTCCTGCTGCAGCCTCAGAGCCCCCAGCCCAAGTGTTTCCTTACCCTCCAGAGGGTCCTTGACGAGCCCCAGTTGGCTGATGATGTAGCGGGGAATGTCGGTCTTTATGCCCTGCCCGACCTTGGCRTGTCCTTCTGCAGCTTCCAGGAGATGGTAAAACTCCTCTGGGTCGAACTCCTGGATGGGGGAAACCAAGCACAGTCGAGGAGAGGGATTTTACAAAGTTAAATATTTCCTCTAAGCCTTGCAGGTGACAGCTGTGACTGAGGACAAGCCCTGGATGCATCATTCCCCCATCATTCCCCATCATTCCTCATCATTCCTCATCATTCCTCATCATTCCCAATCATTCCCCATCATTCCCAATCATTTCCCCATCATTCCCCACCATTCCCCATCATTCCCCATCATTCCCATCATTCCCCATCATTCCCATCATTCCCCATCATTCCTCCATCTTTCCCAATCATTCCCCATCATTCCCCTATCATTCCCCATCATTTCCCATCATTCCTCCATCTTTCCCATCACTCCCCATGTCAAGGGTGATGGAAAAAAAAACGTGGCTCCGTGATTTGGCCTCAATGGGAAAACAAAGGGAGATGAAAATCTCCTTCTTCCTGCTGCAGGAACCGCAGCACAAGGTGAGTGCTTTAGAAATTCAGCATATTAGTAAAAAAAAAAAAATCCTGAAAACTCACAGAATCACAGAATGGTTTGGGTAGGAAGGCACCTCAAAAATCATCTTGTTCCAACCCCATGAGCAAGGACACCTTCCACTCCACCCAGGTTGGTCCAGGCCCCATCCAACCTGGCCTTGAGCATTTCCAGAGCATCCTGGAGGCTTTACCTCCTCTCTGGGCTGGCACAGATCACGAAAGAAAAAACAGGAGCTTCCATGTCTTACCAGACACTCCAGGAGTCGAGCAGGGCGGGAGATSATGATCAGCAGCTTCCTCACCAACTGGTCGATGAACTTCACCTCCTCACTCTCGGAGCGCTCCTGAGCCTGCCGGGAACAGAGACAGAAGCCAGGTATCTCTTGGTGGCCTCAGGAGGTGGCACCAGGCGGGGATYCACCCCATACTCACATCTCGGAGCATTTTCTCCAGTTTCTCCTGCAGCTCCATGAAGTAGCGGGAGGTGATGAGAGCTCCCTGGGACTTGGCCAGGCAGTCACGGGCCAGCTCGATGATCTGGTGGTGGATGAAGCCCAGCACGCCGTCAGCCAGGGGCAGGGTGCTGCTTGGGGCGAAGTTCCTGATGGTGTCCTGCAGCCGCTCCTCCATCTGGGCTGTGGCCTGCAAGGTGGGGGGTGGTGATGTCTGGGGGCTCATGTCCCTGTGCCATGGGTTTGG